ATTGTGAAAGAAGTACAAAGAAAAAAAGCGAAAGCTCTTCAATTTTCATAGGGAGAGGAAACTCTTTTTGACGAAATAAGGAAAGAAGCAAGTGGAGCCCACATAAAGGAAGAGGTGATGGTCGTTGAGGCTTGTACAAGTTATTGGTCACATCAAAGATTCCCACCAGTCCTTGAAGGGTTTCTAAGGACCCATTTTTTGTTTCTTCCTGCTAAACCAATGCCACACCATTATTCGTATCTCTTGGTGGATGCAATGACGGTCAATCCATTCTTTCATACCTGGGTTGGGGCAGAAATAAAAAAAAGGAAAGAATAACTCTAGTATGATGAGCCTCGAGTTTAATGAAGTCCACGAGCCCTCATCACTTGTCACCAACTCATGACTTGAGATGTCACATCACCAATGAGAACTTAGGTTTTGGGATGGACCAAAACTTAGGAATAACCTCCATCTTACAAATGCACTCGTGGTTTGCATTTCCTTATTCCCTTTGTATTTTATTTTATTTTGAGTCGTGGTTTGTGATTTTTTCCTTTATGAGTGAATGATCCAACCCTTGTGGGTTTTTTTTTGTGTTTTGTTGTATGATCTACTCTCCTCTACATGGATTGTACTCTTGCCCTGTCTCACGTTCTTCACTCATCAAGTTACTTCATTCCCCCATTCTTTTTCTTTTCTTGTCTCCATTGAGGACAATGTCATGCTTATGTTTGGGTGAGTTTTTCATTGTGACTGGGTGTGAATAAATGGTTGGATTGATACTGAATGCTTGGCCTAGTCGATTGTCCAAATTTTTTAATTTGAGGGCTCCAAGTGCATTTGAATTCTTGTGCATGATCAAGATGGGCACCTTTTGAAAATTTGTTGTGAATTTTGTGGCTCATTAATGTTGACGCATGAGTAGTATGATTGAGATCGAAAGAAGCCGAGAAAAATCAATGAGAATTGCATTAAGATTGCTTTTTGTGTAAGTCTTCATTTGGTGGCAAAATTGCATGAAAATTTTGTTTGGTCAATCACTATCCCCTGTTGTCTTGGCATAAAGAGTTAGAAGTTTGCATGTGAAACTGAGTATCTAGGTAGCCATGTGAGATTTGTGCCTATTCGTTTCTTTCATGTGTGATTAGTTTCCTATTTCCATGATGAATAGCATAATCTTTGCATGAAGCCAAAGTATGAAACCACTAGTTAGGTAGATTGAGGCATAATTATAGCCCTAACAACACCCAAATAGATGTTATTCTCCTCCATAATCTTAGATGTTTTCATGTCATTTTGAGCATTAAAGAGCGTTTGAACCCACAATGTAGCCTATTTTGGCTTTATAACATTTTCATGTGCATTATTAGGTGACAATGTGTACGTTTTACACATAAGACTAAGAATGGAGGACTCAAGTGTAAGAATGATGGAAACTCCAAGATCTTGGGCAGAAGGAACATATAACGGTTAGGACATGCCAAACTGCAAACTAGATCACCCGACACGTACAAGATCATGTCTGTGATCTCTGATCCCCATGTCGTGAAGTTTGCGAGGCTATGCACGAAGAAAAGCAGAAGATTTCATGGTCAGATTCATGATCTTTCAGCCCTGAGATCACGAGGGAGATTGCGGTCTCGACTATGATTTACAGCAGTGAATTCGAGCCCGTGAACCCTCATCCGAAGAAGCTCAAAGTGACCCCATTCGGAGATCGTGCTACAGTTCCAGTAATCACGACTTAGAACCCCTTGAGGGAGGTCGTGATCTCATTTCTACTCATGTTCACTATAAATAGAGGAGTACCCTAGAGTCGAAAAGAGACTTTAGCAAAAAAAAATGTCAAATAAAAGAGAAAAGAGATAAAAACGTGGCAACACAATAAAAGATACAAGACAAAATATGACAAAGAAAGTCTATTGAAAAAATCAGGGCATAAATAGGATTAAAAGTTATTTAGGGGCAATACGACATTACCAACAATAAACGCCATTCTTATCATAGGGGCGTAGCTAGTTTTCTTTGGAAGGTCGTCCAAATTTATTATAGAAATGAAACATAATTTTTGTGTTTATAATTTTATCACTCATATTAGAAAGAATGTTTATAAAATATAATTATCATTCAAACTATTTAAGATATCATTCTAATTCATCGTAAAGATTAATCAATTATGATTTGAATACTCATTCCATTTGAAAGTGTGTTCTCCACATAGTATATTGCATGAAAAAATATAATTGTTACACAACTTATAAGATAAAAGTATATGCATCAAAACAGAATTGGACCCGAATAACTCATCCAATCAATCCGATCACAATTCGAATTGACTAAAAGTTAATGATCTGTAACCCGATTAGCCCACAACTTGATTGACACACAACCAAATTAAACTGAATTCTATTAACCCACAACCTGATTGACTCGTATCCCAAATTACCCACAATTTGATCTGAACCTGCCCGCTTGACACTTTTGGATAAAATAATAACATATAATGAGCGGTTATGCATATAATGAATAACATATAACAATCAAGACATAATTATAGCTATCCCTTTACATAAATACATGAACAAATACAATTATCTCTCTTAACATAAATACATGTAACAAATACAATTATCTTACATTTGACTCTTAGTGGTTATGCAAAATATTAAGTATGTGTATATAATATAAGGTGTGCCTACGGTGACATGCATGTCACGGTGACTTGCACTTTCCGGTCGACCTCAGTTAGGATTAGGTCGACCTCATATAGGATCTGGTCGACCTCCTTTAGGATTCGGTCGACCTCATATAGGATCAGGTCGACCTAATCTGTTGTTTCAGTGTAAAAACAGTTCATGGTGCCTACTTTGGATATTCATATCATACAATTGGCTAGATGAAAATTGAAGACTAATGAATTATTTTGAAGCTAGAGTGTCCCTCTACATATTGAAGTGATTGAGAGCTCGATAGGAAGTCCAGAAGACCATTTTTGAACCTCATCAAAAGGCTATGCCAAAACTGGGAAACTACCTAGAAATGGCTAAGTCTGGAAACGTGTTTGTGAAGCCTATTTTGGAGCTCAATTCGAGAAGCATGAATGCGAGTCGAGTCCAGGAGCCTCTACCACGTTAAATTAGGTATGTTTTTATACAAATTCATGGCATTGGATGAAAGATTGGATATCTGTAAGGCTTCAAACAAAAGGGTCAAAGTTGCTACGAAGGCTGTTTTTCTGGCAGACTTCGAGCACAAGCAAGCTGCCAGAAAAAACAGTCTTCGTAGAAACTTCGAGCCTTTTGTTTGAAACCTTAATGATATTCAATCTTTCATACAGTGTATTGCCTTTGTATAAAAAAATACTTAATTTAACGTGGTAGAGGCCCCTGGACTTGACTCGCATCAATGCTTCTCAAATTGAGCTCCAAAGTAGGCTTGACAAACACGTTGCCAGACTTAGCCATTTTCAGGCAGTTTCCCAGTTTTGGCATAGCCTTTTGGTCAGGTTCAAAAATGGTCTTCTGGACTTTCTATTGAGCTCCCAAGTACTTTAATGTGTAGAGGGATACTTCAGCTTCAAAACAAGCCTTTAACCTCCAATTTCCATCTAGCCAATTGTAAGATATGAATCCCCAAAGTAGACACCATGAAACTGTTTTTACACTGAAACAACATATTAGGTCGACCTGATCCTATATGAGGTCGACCGAAAAGTGCATGTCACCGTGACATGCATGTCACCATAGCAAAGTCCTATAATATATACTAGATATTTGGCTAATTACTTAACTGGTTAATTTGGTTTGATTGGGTAGGAGTGTCTGAAACCAAACCATCTAAACAAACAAGCTAAAAAATTTAACCAAACCAAACCAATTATCCAAATTAACGAATTATCCAAATTTGGTCTATGTGATTATTATACTCTAGAGTCTAGACACTTTGCTTAGTGATCAATCAATAACCACGAGACTCACGATTTTCCAGACCACAACAGGCTCAAGTTAGGGTGCATAATCATGTATAATTAAATCTAGATCTTCCTTTTTTAGTGGGTCCAGAAAATTCAGATCTAATTGCTGGAAATTAAATGCATTTTTTTTCTTCATTTTCCTGTTTGGTTCTTATCTTCTTCGTTCTAACTCGAATTTCAATTTTTCCACAGATGAAACCAGTTTGTTGTGCTCTACAAAATGAGATCCATTTTCAATATTATTTGAGGATAAAATTCATACCTCTCGTTACCAACTCCATACTATATGGTATCTTCTTCGTTTTAAGATCGTTTTTAAAAAAAATTGCACAAAAAAAACGAGTTCATCATGATTTATTGGATCTAAAAATTTATGGGTGAAAAAAATAGGGGACCAAAAAATAACACACAATACCATCCTAGTATGAGGGGTGGTATCTTATGGTACACAATGTTAAAAGTCGTAAATGACCGTTAGTATACTCATATAATCACTTATTCAACCATCCTACAATCTTGGTATGTTCATACCATCATGGTACGTTGTTCATACCATATGGTATGCTCTTATTTTAATACCAATAAATACCGCCATGGTATAGACTAGTAAAAAATATAGGGTAAATGCCACATTTGGCCACTGAAATTTCTAAATCATGTCATGTTTAGTCACTACAAAAATTTAATATCAATTTTGGTCACTCGAATTATTGGAACAGGTCACATTTAGTCACTCTCCCGTTGGTTTCCGTCCAACTTTAACTTCATTAATGGAGTTGGACGAAAACTAATGGGAGAGTGACTAAATTTGACAGGTTTCAGTAATTCGAGTGACTAAATGTGACATGATTCAGTAATTTGAGTGACTGGAGTTGGACGAAGACTAATGGGAGAGTGACTAAATGTGACATAGTTCAGTAATTCGAGTGACCAAAATTGATATTAAAATTTTCTAATGACTAAATATGACACGGTTTAGTAATCATAGTGACCAAATGTGGCATTTACCCAAAAAATATATCAAAGAGGATATCATTTTGAAGAGCACAATTAATCTGATTTATCTGTGCAAAAACATTCCGACTTAAAACCAGAGAGAAATCATCCGTTAGATATTAAAAGGGGAAATATTAAAGGTTTTTCAGGAGAGAGAGGAGTGCTAGTGTGGCGGATTCAGGTTGGGTTACTCATTATTACTCACCATAGAGTTACTCATGGGATCCGCTCCCACCATAACCAATCTACTTACCGCAAAATATGGGGAGCGGATCTGGTTAGTAACCATGCATAAACCAATCACCATCCGCCACATCAGCGCTTATTCTCTCTCTTGAAAAACCTTTAATTTTCTATCATTAATCTTTAACGGCAGCTAATTTGCCGTCTCAGCCTGAGAGTTCTCGGTCGACGACCTTATCACCGCCTGGTCCTTTCAGTAAGGTTGTGCATTGCGATGGTTCCTTTGTTTCTGATGCACAGGTGGCGGCTTATGGGATTGCTATTGCTAACTCCCACGGTCAGGTTATCGACGGAAGGGCTGAGAGATTCTTTTGTTCCTCTCCAATTCAGGCAGAAGCTTTTGCAATTCTCAATGCAGTTATCTTGGCGGCCCGGGATCCAGTCCCAACATGTATCCGGTCTGACTGTCAGAGGCTTACGATTGCGTTGAGACAGGATCCGAGCCTTTGGCCTTGGTAGTGCAGGGCAACCCTTGCCCGTGTGGTTTCCATTCTTTGTGTTTCTCCCTGGATCTCGATCGAGTTTGTTCCCCGTCGACTCAATTTGTTGGCTGATTGGATCGCAAGGAACTCTCATCTTGATCTTCTTCCGCCGGAGTGGACTGTCATTGCTGACCTTGTAGCTCCATTATTGTAATTGTAATTCATCCCTCTTGTTTGGGTTTGGAATGAAAGGAATGATGTTGGTTGTCAAAAAAAAAAAAATCTTTAACGGACGATTTGTCACTGCGTTTAAGTTGACATTTATTTTATTTATTTTTTTTTGCACAGTTAGATCATAGTAATTGTGCTCTTCAAAATGATATCCACTTTGATATATTTTTGGAACAAAAAAAAATTGAGCCATTTTTTACCATTCTATACCAATGCAGTCAAAATCGGGATTTTGATCATAAAATCATAGGATTTAACTTAGAGATTCCGATTCTGATTTTACTATAAAATCGTTGGACCTTAAAATCGTTCAAAATCGGGATTAAAATCGTACCAAAATCGGGTTTTTGATCTTATGTGAAGAAAATAGGGAGCTTGAGCCAATTCAAAAGAAGCAGAACTGTTTCGGTGGAAAGGGCAATGACGGGAATCTTCTCATATATTTTTCCTATTAAAAGAACTTTTGGAAAGAAAAAAAAACTAATTAGGGTTCGATCAACCCATTTCCCTTCTCCTTGTTTAACTCATCGGTAAAACAATTGTCAGAATATTGTAAGTACGTAAGAATTAACATCATTATTAAAAAATTATTTTATTAATGAATATTTATGTACCAAACCAATGACATTAATTATTTTGATGGAGTTCACTTATTCTTAGTTTTAAATCATGCTTAGTAGACGATGTCAGAATACTACTTTGATTTAAACTACCTAGACACAACATGAAAACACATGAGCCAAGCCCCATGAGCTCTATCCCTTCCTCATAAATTATTTATATTTATGCATTAAATAACAATTAAAATGATGATTTTGGAACATTAATCTTGAAAATTATCGCTTTAAATGTTATAAGTCTTTGTGTTATTAATTATTTACCTTATTAATATTATCATAGGTTAATTTCTATGCGGTACTTAAAATCCTACGATTTTACGATTATGATTTTACCCAGTTTTCGATTTTAGGTGAAATTTAGATTTTAACTGCTTTGGTCTATACCGTACTAGCTTGGGCCCGGCCAGTTGGCCGGAATATTTACATTTATTTGGGTAAAATATTTTAATTAAAATTTTTATAAAATAAAAGTTATTAAGTAGGGTGAAAGTTGGTAGTGGACCACTAAAGCTGACAAAGAGGCGAGGAAGAAGAGAAGAGAAAGTATAAACAAAATTAGTAATTCATGTTGAATGGTTTTAGGTTACATCAAAGTTTTTTGTAGTAATAATAGTGAATCAGTAGACCAGTAATAAGAGTAGTTCGTCCATTTGGTAAAATCGTTAGTTCCAACTCTAGTCGTCCAAACAATAGAGCCAAATCGCTACTGTAAGTTACCAATCATCTGTTAGTTTGGTTTGTTTCTTGTAACAATGATTCAATAATGTAGACGGAGCACCTCATTCAAGAAACTTTCCATTAAGTTAACCTTAATTATATAATTTTATTTATATGTGAAAAAATACATCCATTCAAATTTCTCCATCATCTACTTTAATTTTACAATAAAAGTATACTTCACTGAGGTATGATAAACCATGGGACTTTGATTAGTTAAACTACCAGCTCCATAATATTCGAAATAGTATCAATTAGCATTTATGTTCATTATCAACTTGGTCCCGTGGAAACTTAATTAAGAAGTGAAAATTGAAGCTGAAACTGATAAAAAGAGTGATACACATGCGAGAAACTAATAAAAAGAGGATTTTAAAATGAAAAAGAGGTTATCAAGCTAAAAATTCACTCAAATGTAAAATACATAATGGCCTAAAATCAGAGAGCCAAGACGGAATCAGAGTTGGCGTTTGAATTATATTTAGTTGACAAAACCCAATTTTGGCAAGCAGTCGAATACATGGCTTTTTATGCGGCCCATGGCTCAAGATAAGGGAATGGATCAGGTCAGTAACCTTATGGTGAGTAACAATGAGTAACCCGTCCACATCAGCATGATATCAGCATCCTCTCTCTCCTGGAAAGTCTTTAATTTTCCCCTCTTTAATCTTTGACGGACGATTTCTCACTCATTTTAAGTCGAAATTTAATTTTTTTTGCACAGTTAGATCAGATTAATTGTGCTCTTCAAAATGATATCCATTTTAATATATTTTTCGAACAAAAAAAATTGAGCCATTTTTTACCAGTCTATACCATATGGTATGGACTGGTATTGAAATAAAAACATACCTATGGTTTGAAAAACATACCATGGTGGTATGAACAAACCAAGACTGTACGATGATTGAATACATGATAGTAGAAGTATATTAATTGTCATTTACGACTTTTAACATTGTATACCACACAATACCACCCCGTACCAGGGTGGTATTGTATGGTATTTTTTGGTCCTGTAATTTGTTCACCCAGAAATTTTTAGATCCAATAGATCATGATGAACTCGTTCCTTCTGTGCAAACGTTTTCAAAACCGAATTAAAACCGAAGAAGATACCATACAATACCACCTCGTACCAGGGTGGTATTGTGTGGTATTTTTTGGTCCTGTAATTTGTTCACCCAGAAATTTGTAGATCCAATAGATCATGATGAACTCGTCCCTTCTGTGCAAACTTTTTCAAAAACGAATTAAAAACGAAGAAGATACCATATGGTATGCAGTTGGTACCGAGAGGCCAGAATTTTTTTTCTCTCAAAAAATATTGAAAATTGATCTCATTTTGTAGAGCACGATGAACTCGTTCCAACTATGCAAAAAAAAAAAAAATTAAAATCCGAGTTAAAATGAAAAAGATATGAGTCAATTAAAAAAACTAGAAAAAATAAAAATGATCTTTAATTCTCCTTCCTTATATCTGAATTTTCTAAATAAAGGGTCCAGATTTGGTTATTGATGGGTGCATAACCCATGGTTATGCACCCTATCTTGAGCCCAAGATAAGGTGAGTAACAATTAGTAACCAAATTTGGACTCTTATTTTAAGTGATTGCAGATCTAATGGTGGAAAATTAAAGAAATTTATTTTACCTAGTTTTCTTAATTGGATCATATCTTCTTCATTCTAACTCGGATTTCAATTTTTTTGCACAGATGGAACGAGTTCGTTGTGCTCTACAAAATGATATCCATTTTCAATATTTTTTTTTGAAAAAAAAAAAATTCATCCTTCTCGTTACCAACTCCATACCATATGGTATCTCCTTCGTTGTTTAGTCATTTTCGGAAATTTTTGCACAAAAGGACGATTTAATCATGATCTATTGGATTTCAAAATTTTCTGGGGGGGAAAATTTCAAACCTCTCGTTACCAACTCCATACTATACTATATCACTCTGGTATAAGGTGGTATTTTTCATACCATATGGTATACTGTTATTTAATACCATATGGTATTGACTGGTATTAAATAACAACATATGGTATTGATTGGTATTTTTTCATACCATATGGTATGTTGTTATTTAATACCAGTCAACACCATATGGTATTGACTATACCATATAGTATAAACTGGTAATAATTGGCAAAAAATTTTTGTTCCAAAAAATATCAAAGTGCATATCATTTTGAAGAGCACAATTAATCTGATCTAACTGTGCAAAAAAATTAAATTCCGAGTTAAAACGAGTGAGAAATCGTCTGCTAAAGATTAAGGAAAAGAAAATTAATGATTTTTTCAGCAGAGAGAAGGAGGCGCTGATGTGGCAGATTTTTATTGGGTTATGCATGAGGTTACTCACCGGATCTGCTATCCTGGGCCATACATAAATTATAGACGAAAACCTGGAAGAAGGATAATGAGCATTGATCAATGATTATAGGGTTTAATAGACAACAATTGAATAAATTATTTCCACGACAGATTTGGGTGTTTTTTTAGGTTATTATATAGATTGATATACCTATGATGAAAATTAAGAAGAAAACAAAAAATTTGAATGGTGAAAATCTTGTAAAACTCTATCATTTATTATTCTTTTAATTATGAAGTCCGATTGATGAAAATCACAAGTGATCTTAGGCCTCGTTTGCTTCATGGAATTATCATGGATTTGGTACTTAAAAACCAAGTAGCATGGACTTTGTACACAATCTGTCGTTTGCATGATGGATTTAGGAGGAATCTACAATATATAGATAGCATACTAGGATTTGAACCATGGTCATTTTCAACAATGACAAGAATCTTAACCAATCAGTTATAACAGAACTTTTCAACGGTTAGCTAAGGTACTAAATCTTCACTCGTACTTATTGGTGTTTTTATACTTTGATTTTCATATTTTATTCTTTTAATAATACTTTGATACTTACTTTAAATTTCTATTTATTTTATAATTTTCTATCTATCTTATAAGGTCACTAAAGTTCTATTTATCATTGGTTCAATATTACATTTCGAATTGCAATATCGAATTTGTATAAGCGATGTTGAACTCTTACATTAGTATTACTTTATAGAACTACCGTGAGACAATCATATTCATGTCTTTCTGCAAACAATATGGGGATGGGTTCTTTGGACGTTTTAGCTAGGCTAACCGTTAACTTCTAAACATCTTCCTAATTTGACAGACATGATTGGATTCAACAATCATTAAACGAGGTTGAGCTTAATAAGATGGTTTATTTCCTCTTTTTATGTATTAAAATGAATTGTAGATCAATGACATGTCTACAGATACACTCTACACAATATATACTACTGGCATGATAAATTTGTCGTCTCATTTCAAATTTCCTACAACGAGAGCAAAAGTATGAATGACATTTTTGTCTTTGTCATTATTTATCTTATTTTGTATAGAAAATAAACAAGTATTGGGATTTGAACTAATGTATCTTCAAACACTGACAACAAGAGTCATGACCATGATTGTCAATTCAAGTATGACTCTACTGTTCAAACCAATTCTACCTAAACCTGAGTATCTCAGCAGGTGCCGAAGGCCCAGTTGGTTGTTTACTCGGGCTCGGTCAAAGTCGAGTTTATCTATCTCAACGGGAAATCCGATCGAGTTAACCAACTGATTAGAGCACCGGGCCACTTCAAAATGATGTTGTTTTCAACAATTCATATATGTAGCTATGTTGT